GAGAGAGACATAGAGACAGAAAGCGAGAAATCACTCCCCAGAGGGGATGGTCATGCTGCAATCCCTTCTCCTTCATTCTCCTCTCGGGATCTTGGGCACACACGCACACACACCCAGCGTGAGTTTTAACCCACCGGGGCTGGGACGCGAACCGCAGTCGACTACGTGGGAGTCCAGCGACATAGCCATTATATTAACTGCTGGTTCCTGAGTAATATATGCTTTTTAAAGAATTGTTTTACTTTATTTATTATTATCATTCTTTAATTTGACCAAAGAGAGAGAGAGAAAGCTGCTAGGTCTGGGATGTGCGAGTCCAGTGCCTTAACCACCATGCCATCTGCCGGCTACAATATTGGCTTCTTTATTAATTCATTAAAGAACATGATCTAACTTAGCATAGTTATTCATTTTGAGTTAGTAATGAGTATAAATGTTATTTTGCATTATTTGCAGTAACTGTAATGTGATATAAAAATATCTGTGGTTTCTTTCAGTTGTAAAGTAACAGGTACTGCTAGTGTTAATATTGTGGTTCGTGGCCTAGATTCATAATGGAAGGACATGCTAAATCTATGTTGAGGTTTAGCTTGATTAAACTTTTTCTGGCCCAGAATTCTATGCCAAAACACACACACACACACACACACACACAAACACACACACACGCACGTGCACAAACCCTTGAGCCAAGAATAAAGGTGAAAAATAATGCAAATGCTTTGAGGCCAACCGGTAGCACAGTGGTTGAGGTGTTGGATCATGGACCCAGTGGCTTGAAACTCACACTGGGCACGTGTGCATGCATGCCCAAAGTCCCGAGAGGAAAATGGAGAAGGGATTGTGGTATGGCCACCCCCTTGGGGGGTGGGGGTTGATTTCTTGCTCTGTCTCTCTCCAGTGAGCACACGTGTTCTATAGCAAAAAAATCCCTCTCTCAAAAAAAAAAAATAGAAATGGTATCTGGATACATGGAATACCATATGCAAAGGCAATGAAGAGGATAAAGAACTGTTGGTAAATTGGTTTGTTTAAAATGAAGAGTCAATTTGGCAATGTAGGAAGTAAAACTGGAAAGACTGGCAAAATCGTTGGCATATGGATTAATTGCACACTGTGGTGATTAAATGTGATTCTGTGTTTAAAATCCTTTGCAAACTCTCTATTGCCTGTTGTATATAGTCCAAGTTTCCTGCATTTGCTCTTTGTGAACTAATTCCAGCCTTTTTTTTTTTTTTTTGGAGAGGTTTTTAGCTATAGGGCACATGCGCTCCCCAAAAAGACAGAG